GCCGCGCCCCTCCCCCCTTATCGGCGGCCGCTCCCGCCGGGATTTTTCCACCCCGGGGTGGGGGTGCGGCGGCCAGAGGTCAGGAGATGGCGGGCGGGGAGCGCCGCCACGTGCCCGCGTGCGGCCCCGCCTCGGCGGGCCGGTGACTCAGCCCCGGCGGCTGTCTAGGAACCGAGCTCGGGGGGCGTCGGGGGCCCGGGGAGAGCCGAGCGGCCGCGGAGGAGCCGCGCCCAGCCCCGGAGGGGGGGACAGGGGGACGAGAGAGACGAAGCCCTTTCCCGCCCGGGAGGCTCCCCGCCCTCGGGGCACCGGAAGCGGCCGACTCCTCGGGGGCCCCGCGGCTTGGAGCGCGGCCGGTCGCCCTGAGCCGGCGGCCGGGTGCGGCCCCACCCCCTCCCAGTTGGCGGGCGGGCGATCTGTTCGAACTCAAGTTGTTGGCATACGTTTTACTGAAAAAAAGAGAAAGAAACCCAACGGGCCCGGAGGAGAAGGGACCTTCCCCTTGTTGAAAAAGTTGCAAACCTTGAAACTTGTTAGTATGCTTCCGCCTTAAAAAATAGCCCCCCTCTCCCCCCATCTAGCCCCGTGGGCGCCCGCGCCCGGTGACCTCTGCGCCCGGGAGCCCGGCCGGTGACCCGAACCGCTGGCCCGGGGGCCGGGCGGGGCGGGCACGGGAGAGTGGGGCCTGGGACACAGGCGCCGGAGCGGCCAGGGATAATCCCCTCAGTGGGGTGGGCTCCATTGAGCCGGAATCGTGCCGCCCGGCCAGACAGAGACAGGACGGAAGGGTGTCCAGTGGGCGCCTTCAGTTCTGGAACTGGCCAGGGTATTTTGTCAAATTCCCCTTTGCTCTGTCTTTATTATTATTAAGTAAAAAGTGGAGAAGCGGTAACGCGCACGCCCCGGTTCCCGCCCCTGCCTCTTCCGCCCGGCGGGAGACACGGCCCCGGCCGCCGGCCCTCGCTGGGGCTCCGCATCGGTCCGGGCGGGCGCCCCGCGCCGCGCGCCCGCGAGCCCCGCGGCCCCAACCGCCCCACGCGCTTCCCCCGGGCCTGGCGCAGGCGCGGGCGCACGCGCCGCCGCCCGGCGCTCCTGCCCTCCGGCGGGGGTGGGGGAAGGGGAGTCGTTCCGTTTAACCCTGACATCCCCGAACCCGCTCTAATGTGCTAAATTGGCAGTTTGCTAATTCCTCCTTTTACTTTCCTTCCTCCGGCTCCCTCCCTCCCCTTATACCCGAGTGTGGTTTATGTTCAGCGCAAATCGGAGGGAGCCTTAGCCCTAACCCCTTCCCGCTCCCCACTCTTCTCATCCCTTTATATTGCTTTCCATTGAACTCGGCAAATTTTGCAATAGAGGGAGGGTTTTTTTTGTTTTTTTTTTTATTGCATTTGCACAAAGTTAGGTATCTGGGCAGGCAAGGGGGGAGGTGGGGAGGGAATGGGGAGCAGGCCCCGCCCCTACCGCCCTTTGCAAATAAAAATCTAGAAGCGGGGGGAGGAGCAGGAAGTGGCGGTGCGAGGGCTGCCGCACAGCTAGCAGAGCCGCGGTCCGGACGGCAGCGCGTGCCCCGAGCTCTCCGCCTCCCCCCGCCCGCCAGCCCGAGCCCAGCCCGCGGCCCCAGCAGCAGCGCCGAGAGCAGCCCCAGCAGCAGCGCCATGGCCGGGTGGAACGCCTACATCGACAACCTCATGGGGGACGGGACCTGTCAGGACGCGGCCATCGTGGGCTATAAGGACTCGCCCTCCGTCTGGGCCGCCGTCCCCGGGAAAACCTTCGTCAACATCACGGTACTGCGAGGCCTCCGCGGTCCGGGTACTGGCCGAGCTGGGACCCTGAGGGAGGGGCTTGCGTGGCGGCGGGTGCGGTCCGGGGAGGGCTGCGAGAGGCCGTGACCGGTCCCGGCCCCGGGAGCGGCGCCAATGGCGGCTGCACGTGAGGGCCCCCCGGCGGCCCCCTAAGCGCTACGCCCCAGGCGGCGTCTCCCATCCAGCCCGCCGCCCCGCTTTCCGCGACGGGGCGTTACATCCGGGGCACAGGGCGGGGAGGGCTGCGCCGCCCGGTGCGGCGGCCCACTTCCGCCTCGCTCAGGGCGGGGCGGGCACGCGCTGCAGTTCCAACCGGGGATGGTGATTGGGAAGGGCCTGGGGGCTCCTTGGACCCCCGAGCTCCACATCCGGCCGCCAGCTCATGCCCCCTCCACCATTGTTCCCCCTCGTGCGGGAGGGAGCGTGGCCGAGGCTCCATGCCGGTCCTCTGTGGGCTCCCTGCCCCTCCCAACTGGGTTGGAAAAGGCTGGGCCGCCTCGTGTCCCCAGCTCCCCTCCCCAAGTCCGCCCGGTGGACTTCAGCATTCCTGTGAGGCCGCTTCCGGAAGCCCCCTCGCCCTCCCTTCCCGCCATCCTGCGGGGCCTGGGGCAGGGGAACTTTGTGAGAAGTTCTGGGACAGTATAAGTAAAGGAATAAGGAATGACCACTGCTGTCCCCATCACTACCTCCCAGGTCCACACTGCCCGGAAGTGGGGAGGGGGAGCGGAAGTTCGGATGGGGGGGAAGGGGATTTCCGGGCGGGAGGGGACCGGATGTGGGGATTTGGGGTGTAAGGGGGAGGGGTGGAAAGGTTCCTTGGGGTATCTATACCCGAGAGCTGGCATGCTGGGTCTAGCCCAGGTCCCCTTTCAAAAGTTTTCCAATTTTCCGGAAAGCCCCCAGGGATCCGCTTCATCATCTCGGGGCATAGGTACCTGGCCCTAAACTCTAGGTTACTTGGAGACCCAGGCGTCCGGGCCCCTAACAACTCCTTCAGAACCTTTGACCAAATAAGGGCAAAGTTGCTTCTCCTGTTTTGCCCGCCCCCTCTCTTCCCCTATTAGCTTCTGCTTTTCCTGAAGGAGAGTTCTGAGCATCCAAAGGCTCCCCATTCCATTCCATTCCACTTTCCTCACTGGCTTTTGGCCCTTTATTTCCTGGGTTTGCTTTCCAAGTCTCTAGAGGAATATGCCATCTTTCATATTACCATTCTCAGGGTTTGAGGATCCTGATCTTTTTGTGGACTAACTTCCAAGAGTTTCTCAGGTTTCATAGATGAGTACAAAGCACCTAACATACACACCTTCCTCCCCAGAGGATTCTAGCTCCTGAGAAGTGAGAAGCAGGTATGCCCTTGGAGAGCGAGGCAACCATGGTATACTAACTTGATGAGTGCTTGGTTCCCCTTCCAGCCAGCTGAAGTTGGTGTCCTGGTTGGCAAAGACCGGTCAAGTTTTTTCGTGAATGGGCTGACACTCGGGGGCCAGAAATGTTCTGTGATCCGGGACAAACTGCTAGAGGATGGGGAATTTACCATGGATCTTCGTACCAAGAGCACTGGGGGAGCCCCCACCTTCAACATCACTGTCACCATGACTGCCAAGAGTGAGTTTTCCGAGTCTTATCTTTCTCTAGCTCCAATATTCCTAATGCACACCCTTCTGTGAGTCCTTTGGGTTCTTTTACTGTGTGGTTCCGGGTATGGAGGGATCAGACCAGCCTTCTCCCACCCTGCTGGGTATTAGCATATCGGAGAGTCCCTCCGGTTCTTAGTTCCTATCTCACAATATAAAGAAATTGAACTATATTACCTCTTTCGTTCCTGCCTTGAGCCTTTTCAGGTGAGAAACTTCTTTTTGGGAGGAGGCAGACCGTTGGCTGTAGTCAGCACTTGGGTTGTCTTTTGAACTCTTTGGTTAAAATTTGAGGTAGGCAGGCTCATCCATATCGATTTCTAGCCTGAACAGGAGTCAGGTCTATAAGCCTTTGACCCCCTAAATTTGTGTTGTGCTTCTAGTCTTTTAGCTTGACAAACCCCCCTTATTTTTGAAAAGCCCTATTGTTTCAGGATGACTGACAGCCTAGCCTGCCTGTGTGTGTGTGTGTGGGGGGGGGGGAGCGGGTTTGAAGAGATGAGGTTGGGTTACAGCCCCCAGGGCTGGACAGCTGCTCAACAGCTGGCAGGGGGTAGCATTGTGACACCTGGGTCCTAGCCTCCTCTCTCTTTTCTCCAGCGCTAGTCCTGCTGATGGGCAAAGAAGGTGTCCACGGTGGTCTGATCAACAAGAAATGTTTTGAAATGGCCAACCACCTGCGGCGTTCCCAGTACTGACCTCGTCTTTCCCTTCCCCCTACCACTTCCCACTGCTTTGGCACTCCTCTCCCTCCCATACACACACATATACCATTTTTATTTTTTGGGCCATTACCCTATACCCTTTATTGCTGCCAAAACCACATGGGCTGGGGGCCGGGGCTGGATGGAAGACACCTCCCCCTACCCATACCCCTCCCGTGTGTGATTGGAAAACAATTTTTTTTTTGTTTGTGTTTTTTTTTTTTTTTTTTTTTTCTGAATAAAAAAAGATTCTAACGAGGTGCTGTGTGGTTCTAGCCTGGGTGGAGGGCAGTCACCCGGACTTGCCTCCTTTATCCTTGTTTGGGGTAGGAGCAGGAAGGGTTGAAGCACTACAAATCTAGGACTGAGCACCTGCCTCAGGCCTATCTGGCCGCTGTTTCTAGGACCTATCTACACTGTGCTAGCTGAGTTAGTGGGTAATGGAATAGAGCCATCCAGACCAGAGAATGGGCCCCAGCCTGCGGGCAAGGCAGGGCCAGTTGAGTCATCCTGCGGGTGGGGCTCCCCCTCTGACTCACAGCAAAATGCTAGGGCTATCCCCATGATTAGGTTAGTCTCTTCCACAACTCCCTTGCCCCTTTATACCAAAGGGGGCAATTTCCCAAGTGGGTAAGAGGTTCACTTGTGTGAGAATGATCTTTCCCTTCCTTAGTCAACAAAAACAATTTTATTAACCCAGTAATTAAAGACCCAGTCCCTTTGTACCGACCCCCTCAAAAGGATGGGGTTAGGCAAGGGAGAAACCCAGGGTAGAAATATTCCCTATTCTTCAACATAGAAGGCCAGAGGAGAAAGGCTGTGCAAAATAGGTCACCAGGGTGGAGGTGACAGGGTTGTTAGACTAGGACGGCAGCTGAGGAGGAAGAGGGAGGAGAGGGTAGGGGGTCTGTTGAAGACTCAGGGAAAACGTGTGGGGCTGGGGCTAGGGAGCCAAAAGAGGTGGGTGTTGTAGGGCTAGAGCCCAGAAGTGGGGTCCGCTCTGAGGCAGGATGGTCCCTTGGTTCCCCTTCATCATCACCATCTTGCCCCTGAGTTTCTTCCTCCTGCTCCTCATCCCCAGGACCTCGATGAACAGGCTGCTTACAAATGGGGCAAGTCTTCCGGGTCTGAGTGAGCCAGGGGTCCACACAGCGGCTGTGATAAGCTGCGAGAGGAATGAGGTGAAACAACTGGTGCCTGCTGGTGGAGCAGGACATGGGCACTGGAACTGAGGGCTCACCGTGTGCACAGGGGAGTACCCTCAGCTTGTCACCTTCCACATACTCATCCAGGCAGATGGCACAGACATCATACTGGTCTCCTGGGGGTGGAAAAAACAAGTCCTTTTACTGAGCCACTTTGGACCATGGCCCATAAGAACTCACTGGAAGGCCTGTGGGTAGCTAAACCTTACAAGTTATTTTCCCTGGTTCTATAGAGCCGGTGGAAGAGCTAAGACTGGGACTTGCATGATAAGGCCAAGGTAGAACATGGGGAACTGAGGTTTAGAGGCACAAAGAAAGCAGAGGTAAGAAGGGAAGTGGGTTTAACCGGGGAGGGGTGGGGGCAGAGATACCGGAGTGGGAGGAGTGGAAGTGAGGGCAGGGCTTCTATTGCCTTATTTGGGCAATGGAGACTCCTGGGCCTAAAGACCTAGCCCCTCCTCACCTGTCCTCAGAGTAAATCCTCCCCATTCCATTTTTGTTCTCTTAGAATCAAGGTCGGTCTTTATCTTTTTCCCCAATGCCCATTAGTCATCTTTACTTCTCATCTGCTCTGTTCCTATCCTGTCTTCATTGCACGTGTGGGTAAGAGGAGGAAAGGTGGCTTCTCAGGCTGGTATCTCCCTGCCATCTTTCTTTGCCCCTTACCTTCTGGGCTCAAACTCCTTCAGAACCATACACTATGGAGAAGGCCTTCCGCTCCCCTGTCCCTCTCACCCTTCTGATAGTCATGTGTCGGAATCTGTTTAAGTTGCTCTTTCGTCAGCCGGTTCCGCTGGAGCCGTTTCCGGTGCTGGATACAACGAACTATCTGGGGAAAGGGAGTGGACGATCAGATCAGCCTTAGGGAACAAAACTGGACAATCCAGTACAAAGCATCCCCGCTTCTAAGCCCCAGATCCAGTCTGGTTTTAAAGGCCTCCGCTCTTCCCATCATGCTCCTGGAGTTACTCACCATCACTGCTCCCATGGCCAAAACCAGCAGTCCCACAATCCCTGTGAAAGGGATGAGGTAATAACCCAACGGGAAGCTACTGTCCGGGACCAGAAGCACCCGAGCCCTGGGAAAAGGGAGATCCGTTTCAGGGGCAGGAAAAGCAAAATGACCAAGAGAGAAGTGACTGACTCTGGATAAGGCCCATGAATGGAAAAGAGGCCGTCAGAAGGGCCTGACTTGGGCTCTAGATTGACATGGAAGTGCTAAAGACAGAATAGGAATGAGGGACACATCCTACCCCTTCTCGTAGACGAAGAGGGCTCGCAGGTACTCGGAGCTCCTCTCCCCAATAAACACCGACGGGATCCAGATCTGCTGCTGGATTTCCTCTGCGGGGATTGAGGCATTCATTACACTGAGGACTCAAGCCTCTACTCAAATCCTTTGGTAATCCTGGCATTTGGTTCTTGTGCTATCCCATCCAAAGATCCACTTCCCCCTAATTCTCTAACCCATCCACCATCTCTCAAGTCTGAGGTCCACTGAAAACCCAGCCGTTCAGATCCAGTCTTACCGCTATTCCACACCATGTTCAGAAGTTCATTGGAATTCACGTTGTGTACCACGGCGGCACCGTACCCAGCCCTCTGAGCATTCAGGACCTAGGAGACAAGAAAGGATAAGGAGCCATTATGGGTCTTACCTCCCTTCATTCCTGGTGCATTTTTTTTACCCTGGGGTTCCCACTCCGTATGTATTCAGCAACCTTGACGTCAAAGTTGCAGTCGAATCTTCGAAGCAGTGCAATAAAGACTGACCCGTTGACCGGGGCTGGGGGTGGTGGGGCAATGGGGCTGCAGGCATTGGCTGGGTGAGCCTCCACAAGAAAGCCCTGGAGAAGAGAAGTAAATAGCTGTTGGATTTCACTTCCCTAGTGTCTGCTCCCCATAGCTCCCACCAAGCACACTGGCCCCCACATACTGCTAGTTCTCTATCTACTTCCTTCTCATTCACGGGGGCTGAGCATCCCATCTAAGTCAGAAATCTACCTCTTCTCAGCCTCTTGAAGATGGAATTATATCAAATAACATCTTTTTACCAGACTCTCCGGGTCCCAGATGAGCTAACTTATACCCCATGCTCCAAGCTAATTCGAATTCTGCATTCCAGTTTCCCACTGATTGTACATCAACTCTCCACTCATCCATGTCACTTTCCCAAGTTCCATTTCACACTCCCCTCTCCAGTACAATACAGAACATACTCCTCTCTGTTATAAAAAGAAGGCAACACACACAAAATAAGTAAAAAATAGGCAACAGGGCCCTGGTCTGTGTTGCTCAATTGATTGGAGTGTCATCCCATACACAAAAAAGGTCATAGGTTCCATTCCCAGGCAGGGCACATACTAGGTTGTGGGCTCAATCCCTGGTGTGTACGGGAGGACAGTGATTGATGTTTCTCTCCCTTCCTCTTTAACATCAATTTAAAAAATGGTGTCACTTGTGCTAAGCCCCATGTCACCAAACTGAGACTTAATACCTAACTTAATTATAGTTTTAGCCTTTCCCAGGAATGGAATCTTAAGCCATTCTGGAATTATCTGGTCAGCACTAATGGAGTTAATCTGCCTCATAGACCTCCCTGCCATTCCCTAAAGAAAGGTGACCTTGCCAAAAACAACCAGCTCTTTGCTAATATAACTCCCTTCTGCCTATGAAAGTCTTTCAATACGTACAGTTCTTTGGAGTTACTTTCTATTTGCTACATAGGTTATTGCCCAATTCATAAGTCATTGGATAAAGCTAGGAAGGTCTTTAAAATGTACTCTGTAGAATTCTGTGTTTTTTTAAAAATATATTTTATTTATTTATTTATTTTTTTTTTTTTTTACAGAGAGGAAGGGAGAGGGATAGAGTTAGAAACATTGGTCAGCTGCCTCCTGCACACTCCCTACTGGGTATTTGCAACCAAGGCAAATGCCCTTGACCGGAATCGAACCTGGGACCCTTGAATCCGTAGGCTGACACTGAATCCACTGAGTCAAACCTGCCAGGGCTCTGTGTGTATTTTAGAATGTGTTTTTATTGATTTTAGAGAGAGGGAGAGGGAGACAAATATCAATTAGAGAGAAATATTGATTAGCTGCCTCCTGCACAGCCTCCACCAGGGATCGAGCCCACTACCAGCATGTGCCCTGACCTCGAATCAAACCTGTGACCTCTCGGTGCATGGGTCAAGGCTCAACCACTGAGCCACACCTGCCAGGCTAGAATTTTTAAAAATATATATTTTATTGATTTTTAAAAATATATATATTTTATTGATTTTGTACAGAGAGGAAGGGAGAGAGATAGAAACATTGATGAGAGAGAGTCATCGATCAGCTGCCTCTTGCACACCCCCTACTGGGGATATGCCCGCAACCAAGGTACATGCCCTTGACCGGAATCGAACCCGGGACCTTTCAGTCCCCAAGCCGACGCTCTATCCATTGAGCCAAACCGGTTTCGGCTATTTTATTGATTTTTTACAGAGAGGAAGGGAGAGGGACAGAACTAGAAACATGGATCAGCTGCCTCCTGCACACCCCCGCCCTCCTGCTGGGGATGTGCATGCAGCCAGGGTACATGCCCTTGACCGGAATCGAACCCAGGACCCATCAGCCCGCAAACTGATGCTCTACTGAGCCAAACTGGTCAAGGCTAGAATTTTGTTTTTTAACACCTCTCTTTAATTTTCTAATTACCCATCTTACAAACAATTACACTGATAATCTATGGCCCAATTTTTGCTGTGTGGGCATCTTTGTATTAAGTACAACAAAATTCCTTTATCTTATTTAATCCTCACAATAGCTCTGAGATAACAGCTATTATTATCCCATGCTAAAGTAAGAGAGCCTTAACTTGTCCATGATCATATAAACCAATAGCTGACCCCAGAGATTCTACTGTAAGCACCAGTTCTCTCTGCCTTTTATCTTGATCCACTTTCAGTCTCCCTCATAGGGTTCAGATTTCTTAGGGTAGGCTTGGTCTTCTCTAGATTCTGGATTCCACGCTAGATGTGCTAATCCACTTCCTAACTTGACTCTTTTCCTACCTCTAGTTTCATCCAAGGGTGCAACCCTACCCAGAATGGAAGATTTAAGGAAACAGAAAAAGGGAAAGAAAATTACCTGAAGTCCCTCCTGGCTCAAGGCAGTCCCAAAGAGAGCTGGGAGGTCTGCAAACTCCATGCTCGTATTGTGGTCCGAGGTCTGCGGACAAAAGATTGCATGTTCCCCTTCAGCCTACAATCTCTCCCTCAAGCGCCCTTCCCCCACCTACCCCTTTGACTCACCGCTCGAATGAGACCCCGGATGGGGGCCGCTCCCCACAGCACAGTGGCCACAACTACAGGAAGCGAGAAGGCCGCAGGGTGCATGGCAGCGGGAAGGGAGAGGCTGAGGCCGTGTCCTGGTAGCAGGAGCAGAAGCGGACTTCTGCGCCCTCTTGGCCCCTCCAGGATCCTAGGGGTCCAATCGCCCCCAGGTTCCACTTCCCAGCTACATGGAGATACGGGGAAGGAACCCCGGCTCGGGAAATGAGATACCCAACCCGTTTAGTGGACCTAAGAGGCAGACACTAAATGTATCCTTTCCTAGTATGGGGATAAAACGGGGAAAGGAGAGGGAGGTAAACACCGGTGACAGAAAAACTTCTGGGAGGGTGGAGGAGCTCAAAGAGGTGGGACTTCCGGCCAGGTGGGCCGTCTTCCTGGGTCCTGGAAAAAGGTTTCCGGTAAAGAAAGTCAGGCCGCTTCCAGTATTGGACGCTCAAGATGAAGGACTTCCGGTCCTAAAAGGCTGGTTAAAAGAAAAGTTAGAGGTGGAGGGAGTGCCTGTGGAGGTGAAGGAAGCACTGAAGTCCCAGAAGACGATCTAGTCGTTTCCCTTTTACAGAGCGAATCCTGTAGCTGGCCAGTTTACAAACCTCTCCTCCTCTGGCCGCGGCCGCTGTCGCGGTACCTTGTCGCGGTACCTTAAAGTCTCGCGAGAGACCTCCTCACAGTTCCCTCCCACCTGCTGAAGCTTGCTGTATCTATCGCGAGACACCTCCTAACGCTGGCGAGCGTAGTGTACCCGATCTCGCGAGATCTTCAAACACCCTCTCTATTTTCCCGCGATTCCAACTAGGTAAAAATTGCGCCTGTCCTTGGGGACTGAACGGTCCCGGGTTCGATTCCCGTCAGGGGCATGTACCTTGGTTGCGGGCATATCTCCAGTGGGGGGTGTGCAAGAGGCAGCTGATCGATGACTCTCTCATCGATGTTTCTAGCTCTCTATCTCTCTCCCTTTCTCTCTGTATAAAAATCAATAAAAGTATATTTTTTAAAAAAAATTGCGCCTGTGCTGTGACTTCCTAAATGAGCCACACCCCTTCGCCGCACATCTTTCAGCTCCTCCTTCAGCTCCGCCTTACTCCCGGCCACCTTTGCGTTGCGCGCCTGCGCTGTCAATCCCCGTGGTTCTGGACCCCGGAGCTGCCGGCCTGTGCGCGCGCGCCCTCGCCCCTGTTGCGCGTGGTGTCACCTTGGGCGCGAGCGGGGCCGCGCGTGCAAGGGACCGGGTGTCCAGGGCCATCGAGTAGCGATGGCGGCTACGGCGAGTCCTGGGGCCGGCGGGATGGACGGGAAACCCCGTACGTCCCCTAAGTCAGTCAAGTTCCTGTTTGGGGGCCTGGCCGGGTAAGCGCAGGCCCTATGGATGGTAATGAGGAGGAAGGGACGGGTGCGAGGAACTGGGCCCAGTTCATCTTGGGGTCTGTTGCAGTGTACTGAGTCTGCACGGGGTCAGCGCCGTTCTCAGTGATCTTTGAGATACCAGGATATTTTTACCCATTGCCAGGCCCTTATTAGGCTGCATACGGGGTCATTGCACGGGATCCGCTGGGCGGCCACCTGAATCCCCCAACCCATTGCTTGGCTCTGCAAGGTTTATGGTGTTCCAGGTCATTGCATGTCTCCTGCCGGTCTTGAAGGGGTCGGACCGCATGCAAGTCCCAAGTCACTGCTTGACCCCCCTTGGAGTGTACGGAGCACTTTGATTGCATGCTGGATCATTGGACGGTTTAGACCCATTACTCTTGACTTATACACATGTCCAACGACCTCCTGAACATTTAGTCAATCGTACGGCAGGCCCTGCTCCTTGTGACTTGTTGCCAGGTGCCAGTAGGCATTGGTAGATCTGGGGCACCTTGACTCTACCCCCATCTTCCCCCAGGATGGGAGCTACAGTTTTTGTACAACCCCTGGACCTGGTGAAGAACCGGATGCAGCTGAGCGGTGAAGGAGCCAAAACGCGGGAGTACAAGACCAGTTTCCATGCCCTCACCAGTATCCTTAAGGCAGAAGGGCTGGGGGGCATTTACACCGGGTATTGAGGCCACAGGATGGGGATTAGGGTGCGGGTTGGCAGCTCCGGACCTTGGCCTAATACAGCGACCCCTTCACTCCCCAGGTTGTCAGCTGGCCTCCTGCGCCAGGCCACTTACACCACCACGCGCCTTGGCATATATACTGTGCTGTTTGAACGCCTGACTGGGGCTGATGGCACACCGCCTGGCTTTCTGCTGAAGGCCCTGATTGGCATGACTGCAGGGGCAACCGGTGCCTTTGTGGGAACCCCAGCCGAGGTGGCTCTGATTCGCATGACTGCCGATGGCCGGTGAGTTCCAGGTGGGAGCCCGCCTCCAGCTCCATTCCTTGGAATCTAGAATGAAGGGCTAACTTATCTTCGATCGAAAGCAGAGCACTCATCTGTTCTGGACTCCCTTTCCTTGTTCCTGTGGGACAGGATGGTCTGTCCTGAGCTCGGCCTCTTCCCTGCCTTCCCACCAGGCTCCCAGCTGACCAACGCCGTGGCTACAAAAATGTGTTTAATGCCCTGGTTCGAATCGCTCGGGAGGAGGGCGTCCCCACACTATGGAGGGTGAGTGAAGGGGCTGGACACCTGAGGGGATGGGGTCAGGTCCCAGGCATTTCTGAATCCTCTCCCTCTCCCCACCCAGGGCTGCATCCCTACCATGGCTCGGGCGGTTGTCGTTAATGCTGCCCAGCTTGCCTCTTACTCTCAATCCAAGCAGTTCTTACTGGACTCAGGTGAGACCTAGACCTGGGCCCTGAGCTCCCAGCTGGGCCTGAGCCAGGCTCTGACTGACTGCCACTGCTCCACCTCCCCCAGGTTACTTCTCTGACAACATCTTGTTGCACTTCTGTGCCAGCATGATCAGTGGCCTGGTCACTACTGCTGCCTCCATGCCCGTGGACATTGTCAAGACCCGGTGAGTCTGCAGACCTGGGGAAGGAAGGGAGGGCCCCGTCGTGTGTCTCACGCCCCTACCTTCTCTCCTCCAGGATCCAGAACATGCGAATGATTGACGGGAAGCCGGAATACAAAAACGGCCTGGTGAGGAAACAGGGCTGGGGGTTTGGGCTGGAGGATTGGATATCCTGGGGAAACAGTGAGGGTAGCTGGGTATGAGGGCCAGGGCCCCAGAGGGCCCAGGTCCTAGCCCCAGTGTCCTGCCCACCCGCCTGTCTAGGATGTGCTGGCGAAGGTCATTCGCTACGAGGGCTTCTTCAGCCTGTGGAAGGGCTTTACACCGTACTACGCCCGCCTGGGCCCCCACACCGTCCTCACCTTCATCTTCTTGGAGCAGATGAACAAGGCCTACAAGCGTCTCTTCCTCAGTGGCTGAGGCGGGCGAGGGGTCTGGAGTCGGTGTGCTGGGCTCCCACTCGCCTGCTGCTCCTACAGTCAGTGTGCCCCTGGGGGGCCTGGACTGCTGCCCTGGCCCCTCTATTTATTCTCCCTCCACCATGTGGTTCCTTCTTCTTCGGTAAAGAGGTTTGGCCTGCCCTGCCCCTGCTCCAGCTCACCCTGCTTGTCCTCATCCTCACGACCTCTCTGTCCCTGGCTGTGCCTTGGAGGAAGCTGAGAAACTCCCTGAGAATTTCCAGCCTTCTCTTGGGTGTTAGTTTCAGGACACACGGGGACAGCAGAAGATTCCCCTTCTCAGTAGGGAAACCAAGGCAGAGCTGAGGGGCCAGAGGGAGCGGAAGCTGTCAAGATGGCCAGAGGGTCTGCAGTGAGAGGACATAATAAATTGGATTCCCTCCACTTTACTGAGGACATCCTCATTGGATTGACGACACTACCCCCAAATTTGGAGAGTTGTGAGGGCTTGGAGGGGGAGGAGACAGAGCAAAGAAGCAATGCTCCTGGAGAACAGAAACTGGAGTTTTTAAGAAAAACTATTAAAGAAAAAGCATCTGCTGTTTTTATGGAAATGCGACGTCAGTCAGTCTCATCGTGGCAGCTGACTGGGTGAGGAAAACCAAAACCCAAGCACCGAGTCTTGCTTCCCAGCCACTTGCCCAAGAATGCGACTGATGCACAAGTCAGCACAAGTCCGCTCACGTAATCCCCAGGAGAGCCTCGGATCTGGCGACTGCTCCTGTGGCCCACAGAGGGAGGAATAAAGAGGATGAGAAGAGAATACTGACCTGCGTGTGTGTGTGTGTGTGTGTGTCGGGGGGGGGGGGGGGGTGCATTTCTGAGGGCGGGTTTGGGGAGTGAGCACAGGAGCCAGACCCCCAAAGCCTGGAGTTGGAGGAGCCAGAGACTTGATCTGGGCACTGAGTTGGGGCGAGTGACTGCCTTGTCTGCGTGACTCCCAGACCCTGGCCTCTAGGGGCCCCCAAACCTCTTGGGGCATAAAAGGGTATGAGAAGGTCAACTGGAAGGAGGGTTGGTCAGTGTGAGGTCTGAAGGCTTGTGAGCCAGGTCAGGGGACAGGCAGGCGGCAGGTGGGAGCTGTCCTCTTGGCAGAGGCTCTCGATGGAAGTGGAGCTCGGCAGCCTGGCATCGAGCTGGGCCCTCCCACCGCGGCCTGTCTTTTTACCTGCTCCGTGTACGTGCTGGCCTGGGCCTTGTGGCCACTTTGAGACACTGAGGCCTAAGTCATACTAAGAAATTCACCAAGTCCAGGGGGAAGATGGCACAGGAGCAGTTCGGGGAACTGGGAGTGGAGCAGTAGGCTAAGGCTGGGTAACTTGGAGCACCCTCTCTGCCTGGGCGAGGAGAGACCTGTGCACAGCAGCAGAATGGCTGGGGGTGGGGGCAGGGCCGTTCGGGCTGACAAGGCAGGAAAGGCTGGGGAGCAGGTGCAGCAGCCGGGACACAGGTGGTGAAGTGTGTGTGAGATGAAGCGGAAGTGTTCGACGGGTCAGTGCACAGAAGTCCTTGATTGTCAGCCTCTACCCAGGGAAGAGTTCAGAGGAGGGGAAATTCGGTTGGATTTTCAAGTTAGGAAGATTCTTTCAGCACCAGCTGGAGAGGGGGGGTCTGATCTCATTCTCTGGGCCCCAAGCCATGATTTGGGCTGGGGGCAAGGTAGGGGAGGGTGCTATCACATGTGAGGAGAATCTGGCACATGATGAGAGAAGTGGGTTCCGTTAGCTTGAGGGTAGGGAACACTATTCAGGAAAGCCCACACCTTTCCTCTGTCCCACTCACCTAGACAGCACAGGAAAGCTGCATTTCTGAGGCTGCAGGTGAGGGCAGGCATCCCCTTCACTCCTAGTTCTGCGGCCACAGACGGGCCCCGGTGGTGTTGCTAACCTCCAGGGAGACGTGGTTCTTGATCTGGGGCCGGTGCTTGGGCGGCCTGGAGGGTGGTCACCCCTGGAGGAGACTAGGCATCCAAGCAGGGAAGTGCCATCTAAGGCTAGATCTTTGGGGGTGAGGAGTGCAACTAGAGTGGGGGTCGTTGGAGCTTTGGGAATGCCAGGGACAGGTGTCCCAGCCACTCTTTCCCTCCAAAAGACCTTAATTTTTCTTTTTGAAATTACTTTTTTTTTTTTTAATATATTTTATTGATTTTGTACAGAGAGGAAGGGGGAGAGATAGAGAGTTAGAAACATCGATGAGAGAGAGTCATCGATCAGCTGCCTCTTGCACACCCCCTACTGGGGATATGCCCGCAACCAAGGTATATGCCCTTGACTGGAATTGAACCCGGTTCCCTTCAGTCCCCAAGCCGACACTCTATCCATTGAGCCAAACCGGTTTTGGCTGAAATTACTTTTTATTATACCAATAATATGATGATAGAAAAGGCCAATCAGAGGAAAGGAAAACCATATTTATACCACCCGAGACAATCAGGGTTCACATCTTGATAAATCTCTTCAAATTTTCAATACACAGATAAACGTGGGGGCCAGTCTTCTATTAAAAAAAGAATGCTTTTATTGATTTTTCTTTTTAGAGAGGGAGAGGAATAGAGAAGTAGAAACATCAATCATCCATCGGCTGCCTCCTGCATGCCCCACACTGGGGATGGAGCCCACAACCCAGGCATGTGCCCTGACCAGGAATTGAACCACGACCTCTGGGTTTATAGGACGATGTTCAATTGCTAAGCCAACACCAGCCAGGCTCTATTCTGTTTTTGTTTTTGTTTTTTTTTGCTTTTTCCTAAAACTTCCCCAAAGTGGTAATAACCCAGTGGTCTGACACCCCACCTCATCTAATGCTTTTTTTCTATGAACCACACAACTCCATCTCACTTCCTCTCCTGGCTGACTGGTTTTGAGGTTATGTTCCTGTGGTGTGAAGGGGAGGCTTCTGATAAAAAAGTAAGACCTCCCCGTGACCCTGTGATTTTCACTAGCCCCCACCCCCCACTAGATCCCACCAGAGCCTCTCAAAGTCCCCAAATCGCCCAACCTCAGAGGCTGTGGCCGGAGTACCTAATGCCCACTGTGCCCAGCAGGTCCTGACCACGACCCAGACTCAGGGCTGAGGGCCGCCGTCCTGCCACCAGAGGCCCCACACGGCCATTGGGCCGGATCCACAGGAAGAGGCTGGAGCGGAAAGTTGGGAATGACCCCTGGAGGAAAAGCAGCCAGGCCCGGGGCACAGCCACCTGCCTTCCCCTCTCCAGCTCCAGAGAGGTGGTGTGCGTGGCTGTGGTCAGGGCTACAGGCTGGCCAAAGTCCAGGGCCCGTGCCTTCAGGTGCCGGACCCGGATGAGCAGCAGGAGGAGGACCACAGAGGCAAACAGGAGCCAGAGGAGACCCAGGATGTAGAAGCCCAGGGGAAGGAGACAGCAGAAGTCGGGGTTGAGAAAAGGGTCCCTTTGGGAGCTGTCCACATTCCCTTCAGCCAATCCTTGGACCTTGGCGAGGTCGAAAAAGTCAGGGATGATTGTTGTGGATTCTAAGGGAGGGAGGAAGGTGGGTTCTGTGGTGGTTAATGTGGTCAGTTCTGAGGTGGTATGTAATGTGGTGGTTTCTGGGGTGCTCGGGATCGTGGTGGTTTCCGGGGTGCTCGGGGTCATGGTGGTTTCTGGGGTGGTCGGGGTCATGGTGGTCGGGGGCGCGGTGGTTTCTGGGGTGGTCGGGGGCGCGGTGGTTTCTGGGGTGGTCAGGGGCGTGGTGGGCTCTGGGGTAGTCGGGGGTGTGGTGGGCTCTGGGGTGGTCAGGGGTGTGGTGGGCTCTGGGGTGGTCAGGGGTGTGGTGGGCTCTGGGGTGCTTGGGGTCGTGGTGGGCTCTGGGGTGATCGGGGGTGTGGTGGGCTCTGGGGTGGTCGGGGGTGTGGTGGGCTCTGGGGTGGTCGGGGGTGTGGTGGGCTCTGGGGTAGTCGGGGGTGTGGTGGGCTCTGGGGTGGTCGGGGTTGTGGTGGGCTCTGGGGTGGTCGGGGTCGTGGTGGGCTCTGGGGTGGTCGGGGTCGTGGTGGGCTCTGGGGTGGTCGGGGTCGTGGTGGTTTCAGGCGTGGGTTTGGGAGTGTGGGAGGGTGTAATGGATTCTAACGTGGTTGGAAGTGTGGTCTGTTTCTTAGTGGGCTCAGGGGTTGGAGGCAAGTAGGGCACTTGGCTGGCTGGAGAAGCAGTCGGTTCTGGGGAGAAGAGGCCCCCGGGAGTTGAATCGGCTTTGGTGTTGGAGACCACAGCCCCTGTGGTAGGCACCTTCGCACTCGTGGTGTCATACAAGTCCGTTGGGTCATCCCCAACTTTGAGAGGCGCGCAGCCCTTCCCGGGGTAGGCAGAGACGGGTGTTTTGTGCAGGTTGACACACCGCACGCTCTCCACGTTGGGGGTCATGGCCTTGTTATCCACGCCCTCCTTCCACAAGTAGACGCTGTCGGCGTTCTGCTGCAGCCAGCGGCTGAAGTAAAGGATGCTGCAGTCGCAGAACCAGGGGTTGTTGTGGAGAAAAGCAAAAGGCAGAAGACGGTCTCCAAAGAAGCCCTCTGGGACTGTGCGCAGCCAGTTCCCCTGGAGGTAAAGGGTGTCCAGCTCCTCCAACCCATCCAGGAGCTCCAGGGGCAGATCCGTCAGCTGGTTCTCGGCCAGGTTGAGCTTCCTCAGGTGGACTGTGGACGCCAGGAGCCGGGGCGGCAGGGTCCGCAGCTTGTTTTTCCACAGGGAGAGCTCCTGGAGGTGGCTCAGGCCGTCCAGGACGCCCGGAGACAATGAGGTCAGCTTGTTGTAGGAGGCGTCCAGGGTGGTGAGTGCTGGCAGGGTCTGCCCCAGCGCGGGCAGGCTTGACAGCAGGTTGTGGGGTATCTCCAGGGTCTCCAGCAGCGGTAGCGTCTCATCAGCCCGCAGTTCGGTCAGTTGGCTGTCACCCAGATGCACCTGAGTAAGGCGAGGCAGCGACGCCAGGGACGACAGGGCGAAGGTGCCCAGGGGGTTCTCACCCAGGCGGAGGATGTTGGCGCCGGTCGGCAAATCTGAAGGCATCGCCTTCAGGCCCCGTTTTTCACAGTTCACCTCCATCTTGTTGGCCACCATGAAGATCTCACAGGAGGAGTCCGAGTGTGAAAGGCTCGGCAGCAGGAGCAGCAAGAGGAGGAGAGGCATGAGGACCTGTGGGCAGGGGGAGTTCGAGTGGGCACCTCACTGGCCCCAACGTTATTCCCCCAGGCCCTGGCCCTCGCTGCAGCCTCCGGGGTCCTTTCCAGAAACTTGGCTCCCACACCTCCCAACCTCCCCACTCCCCTTTCTCACCCTTGTCCCCCAAAGCCTTACCTGCTAGCTCCAGGTCCTTGGCTCTCATCCCTCCCTCAGACCCTCTCCCCTCCCGGCCCAGCCCGAACCCCAGCTTACAGGCAGGCAGAAGAGCAGGCAGAAAAACCTCCGGAGGCACAGAGCTTCTTCCAGGGTGTGACTCCTTCTTTCTTACAGCTCGAGGGAGGGCCTGGGCAGGGGCAGGAAGGGAATGGGGATGGGAGGAAGTGCCAACCTGATAGGGACTCCTGAGACTCCCGGACACAAGCCCTTATCACCCCCTTCCACAGCTTTCCCCAAACCCTCCTTTTGGCTCTCCTCTCTCCCCCTTTCCTTCTACAGCAGGGAGATTGGGAGTGGACCTGTTTTAGAAACCTCTCATCCAGCTTTTAGAAACCCCTCCAGCTGCCACTCTCACTTCCCCTTCACAGCTGCATCCTTAGAGTTGCCTAATTTTAACCCTCACCTCCCTCTGCCTTTTCACCTAACTAGGCTGGTTTCATCCTGCCATTGGCTCAGCATTCTTGCCAAGGTTTCCAGTGCCCCCAATCCCTCTACAACCACTGGACACTTCTCCATTATGGTCTTATTTTCCGCAGCCTGCGGAAATACTAAGTTTCCTGGTTTTCTCTTACCTTTCCGGCTAGCCCTTCCCCAACTCCTTTGTGGATTCTTCTTCCTCTGTCCTTCATGAAAATTAACCAGCCTCCAGACTTCGGTTCTTTGGGCCTCTTTTTTCTTTTCTTTCTTTTTTTTTTTATGCTCACAAACACCTGAGATTACCCTTGCCCATTCCCTTGCATTCAGCTACCACTTGTGACTTACCGTTACATTTTATCTCTAGCCCAGACCTCTCTCTTGAGACCCAAACACATATATCCCACTGCCTTTTGGACTTCTGGAGTGTCCCAAAGACAGAGAAAGGTGTTCAAAGCAGATCTCATAATCTCTCTCCAAGAAGCTTATCCTCCCATGTCCTCCAGCCTGGTGAATGGCCCCATTATGCATTGATTTGTCTACTAGCGATTTTCAACCGTTTTCATTTCATGGCACACATAAACTAATTACTAAAATTCTGCAGCACACCAAAAAATACATTTTTTGCTGATCTGACAAAAAAAATAGGTATAACTTTGATTGATTTACCAAATATTAATAATAATAATGATGATAGTTACCTACCCTTTTTGCTCCAAAGTGACTTTTTAAAAAGTCAGGTGCTATTTAAAAAAAAAAAAAAAAAAAAAAAAAAAAAAAGCCAGGTGCCTGGATTTGTACATAAATATTTCTGGCTGAAACCTGTTTGGCTCAGTGGTAGAGCATCGGTCTGCGGACTGAGGGGTCTCAGGTTTGATTCCGGTCAGGGGCATGGACATCGGTTGAGGGCACATCCCCGGTGGTGGGTGTGCAAGAGGCAGCTGGTCGATGATTCTCTCTCATCGACGTTTCTCTATCTCCCTTCCTCTCTGTAAAAAAAAATCAATAAAATATATTTAGGAAAAAAAAATTTCTGGTATCAAAACATAACCAATCAGTTGCAACCTTATTATGCAACGTGATCAACAAACTGCAACTCTATTATATGACATATATTTATGGTTCAAGATGGCATTCACACTGGACTGCTACTGTGTTGGCTATTGTTATTTATTTCTTTTCCTAAGTAACATCGTTTTTATTTATTTTTAATATATTTTTATTGATTTTAGAGAGAGGAAAGGAAAGGGAGAGAGACAGAAACATGGGTTGACCCTCAACTACTGAGCCACACCGGCCAGGCTGTTGTCTTTTTTTTTTTCCTTTTTTTAAAATATATTTTATTGATATTTTACAGAGAGGAAGGGAGAGAGATAGAGAGCTAGAAACGTCAATGAGAGAGAAACATCGACCAGCTGCCTTCTGCACACCCCCACCGGGGATGTGCCCGCAACCAAGGTACATGCCCTTGACCGGAATCGAACCTGGGACCTTTCAGTCCACAGACCGACGCTCCACCACTGAGCCAAACCAGTTTCGGCAGGCTGTTGTCATTTTTCTGTTTGTTTTGTTTGTTTTGTTAATCCTCACCCAAGGATACTTTTTCATTGATTTTAGAGAGAGTGTTAGGAAGGGTAAGGGACAGAGAGAGAGAAACATCAGTGTGTCTCTTTCACATTTATTGGTTGCCTCCTGCGTGTGCCCCGACTGGGCTGCAAACGAGGCACATGCTTCCCTGGAATTGGACATGAGATCCTTCAGTCCGTGGGCTGATGCTCTGACTACTGAGCCAAACCAGATATGGGTGTTGTCATTTTAAAAAATGTGACAGTCTAAGGGAGAAGAGGTCAGGGCCCCTGACTAAATAGCCAGGTATTTTTAAAACATTTATTGCATGTTTTAAAAATTCTTGCAGCACACTAGTGTGCCACAGCATACTGGTTGAAAATCACTGGTCTAGCGGAAACCGGTTTGGCTCAGTGGTAGAGCGTCGGTCTGCGGACTGAAAGGTCCCGGGTTCAATTCCGGTCAAAGGCATGTACATTGGTCGTGGGCACATCCCCGGTTGGGGTGGGGGTGCAGGAGGCACCTGGTCGATGTTTCTCTCTCATCGACGTCTCTGGCTCTCTATCTCTCTCCCTTCTTCTCTGTAAAAAATCAATAAAATAAAATAAAATAAAATAAAATAAAATAAAATAAAATAAAATAAAATAAAATGAAAATCACTGGTCTGGCCCAGCCAGTGTGGCTCAGTGGTTGAGTGTAAACCCATGAACTGGTTTGATTCTAGTTAGGGCACATGGCTGGGGTTCAGGCTTAATCTCCAGTAAGGGGTGTGCAGGAGGCAGCTGATGGATGTTTCTCTATCATTGATGTTTCTATCTACTCCTCTCTCTTCTTCTCTCTCAAATCGATAAAAACATATTTTTAAAAATTGCTGGTCTGGCCGGGACCTGTTAGGCTCAATGGATAGAGCGTCGGCTTGGGGACTGAAAGGCCCCGGGTTCGATTCTGGTCAAGGGCATGTACCTTGGTTGTGGGCACATCCCCAGTGGGGGGGGGGGTGTAGGAGGCAGCTGATCGATGACTCTCTCTCATCGATGTTTCTAACTCTCTATCTCTCTCCCTTCCTCTCTGTACAAAATCAATAAAATATATTTAAAAAAAAATAAAAATAAAAATTGCTGGTCTGGCCCTGACTTGTTAAGAGTGTCATCCTGCTGAAACCGGTTTGGCTCAGTGGATAGGGCACCGGTCTGCGGACTGAAAGGTCCCAGGTTCGATTCCCGTCAAGGACATGTACCTTGGTTGTGGGCACATCCCCGGTGGGGGGTGTGCAAGAGGCAGCTGATCGATGTTTCTAAGTCTCTATCCCTCTCTCTTCCTCTTTGTAAAAACTCAATAAAATATTTAAAAAAAAGAACGAAAGATGCCCTGGCTGCTGTGGTTCAGCTGGTTGGACGTCATCTCCTGTGCTGAACGGTTGCCAGTTCAATTCCCGGTCAGAGCACATGCCTGACTTGTGACCTCGATCCCCAATAGGGGACATGCAGGAGGCAGCTGATTAATGTTTCACTCTCACATCAATGTGTCTCTCTCTCCATCTCCCTCAAATAATATTGATTTTAAAAGTTTAAAAAAAAGAAAAGAAAAGAATAAAATCAAAGATAAAATGAGCCCTAGCCGGATTGGCTCAGTGTATAGCATCGGCCTGCTGACCGAAGGGTCCTGGGTTTGATTCTGGTCAAGGGCATATACCTCAATTGCAGGCTCCTCCCCCAGCCCAGGCCCTGGTTGGGGTGCATGCAGGAGGCAATCAATCAATATGTTTCTCTCACATCGAAATTTCTCTCTTCCACTCTCTCAAAAAATCAATGGGAAAATATCCTTGGGTGAGGATTAAAAAAAAAAAAAAAAAGCCCAAAGGGGGAAAGAGAACAACAGAAAGAAAAAAAATGCTGGTCTAGCCATTCAATCAATACAAACAAAATCCCTGATAGTTGTCCTTAACTCCTTCCCTCCCTCTTCCCCACATCCAACTTGTCACCAGGTTCCATTAATTTTACCTCCTTATCGCTTTTAAAAATATATATATATATTATTGATTTTTTTTTTTTACAGATTGGAATAGAGAGTTAGAAACATCGATGAGAGAGAATCATCAATCAGCTGCCTCCTGCACATCCCCACTGGGGATGTGCCCACAACCAAGGTACATGCCCTTGACCAGAATCGAACCTGGGACCTTTCAGTCTGCAGGCCGACGCTCTATCCACTGAGCCACACTGGTTTTGGCTCCACTTTTTTCCCCTTTTCCTACTGCCGCCATTCCTAGTCCAGGGTGCTACGTTCTCTCTACTGCTTCACCACAACTGCCCCCCATCTGGTGACCTAGCTTTCTGACTTCCCTTTCTCTCATTCTCCACTGGAGCTGTTTTTCAGAACTGCCGAAACCGGTGTGGCTCAGTGGATAGAGCGTCGGCCTGCAGATTGAAAGGTCCCGGGTTCGATTCCGGTCAAGGGCATGTACCTTGGTTGCGGGGTGTGCAGGAGGCAGCTGATCGATGTTTCCCTCTCATCGATATTTCTAGCTCTCTATCCCTCTCTCTTTCTCTCTGTAAAAAAATCAATAAAATATATTTGAAAAAAGAAGAAAAAAAACACAAAACTTCAGATCTGCTCAAATACCTCACTGCTTACTCACCCATGGCCTTTACAGGGGGCAGTCTAAGAACCTTAACATGCCCTACAGAGTCCTGTGCCTGCCTCACCAGTCCCATCTCTTCACACTAGACCATTTTCCTTTTTGTGCCCGGGCTCTCTGATCTCTTATCTCCTTCTGTGTAACTCTCACTTATATGGAAAGTTCCAGTCCAGAATTCCTTCATCTAGAAAACCTTCTAGGACTTGCCAACACCAGGTTAGGTGCCTATTTCAGAGATTCAGCCACCATTGCCTAATGATTAACATGTCCCTACCTACTATACCCCAGGAAGGGCCTGAGCCTGCCCTGGTCTACTTGCCGTTGGTGACTGGACAAGGGCAGATGCAGTTAGTCTGCAGTCTTGCCATTTATATATTTGCCAGCGGGAAAAAAGTACTTGAAAATGTGGAGAAAAGGAGACAGCTAACAGCAGGAAGTGAGCAGAAAGTTGTATATAGAGAGATTACTATGTGGAATAAGGCCCTGAGGCTGTTAGTTTTTGCTGCCTT